GACACTTTCAATATATCCGATAGCGCTTTACCTGTTTTGTCATTTATAGACCGGTTTTGTCATTTATTTACTTGTTATATTGTTATGGATCAATATATTTTTATAAAGTATCGACACAAACCGACAAGCTAAGTTTGCCGGTTGCCAAATTTTTTAATATTTCTTCATAATTTCCACCTATTACATTATTATTACTCGATATTTCCGATAGTGCTAAACCGAATTTATCAAATATCTTTTAATGTATTCGGTAACGCCGTATATTAACCATATATTAGTCCGTCTTTCCAGAGATAAACCCCTATGTTTAATGTCATATTCTTTTAATTAAGGTGATAGATTTGTTGATTGACCTACGTTGGTTGTTGTGTCTTATATATTATATGTATGAGCACATTTACCTTTATATTATATATTAAAAGTGTGGTAATGCCCATAATATATTTTACGCCCTTTATTTTGTAAATTGCACGTCAATAACCATTCTATACATATATGTTATATACGGTTTTGCATACTGTGTATATGTTTCATAGTATTTATTTATGTGTTTTACTTCGTATCATATGTCTGTTTGTTATATTGGTGTATATATCTCTATACTGGTAGTGTATTGATGATTTTAAAATTATTAGTTAAAGAGCAAGTATGCGAATGTTATGATGTTTTTTTTTAATGTTTTAATACTTTCATTTGTATAAATTTGGTTACATTATATATATTTTGTATATAATCTGTATGTTACTCGTAAGCTTCCTTTAGACTTTATTTCTTTGAGATTTAGTTCTTAATTTAGTAAGTAATCTGAATTAGGTTATGCATTTAACAGGCTCGGATGATCATTTTGATTATTCGACTAAATAATTTATTAAAATCAATTAGGGTTAATATCAGAGACTCCACTTTAGGTTTAATTCTCTAAGTTCTTTAATTTTCATAATTTGACACTTTAGGTTAGGGAAAACCTTAATTAGTTACCTAATATAATTAGGTTTAAATAATTGATTGTCTGATTGCATCATGTCTTCAAAACAAGGCAATATTCATTTACCAAGGAGTTAATAGCGTATCCTCCATATTATGCTAAGGGGTGACCATTGGTAATTCCCAAAGTAAATCGACATCCTTTTCAAAATCTTGCTTACATAATGAAATTTTAAATTAAATAAAATCTCAAACTCAAAATTTTCAATTTTCAAATATAGGGTAATCGACTAGGTACCAATTTCTGGCGTTGTGGGGGTGTCAATCATTCCCCACATGTAACGTACTCCCGAACCCGATTTCTGGTTTTCACATACAAAATTTGGTATTTTTGATAAAATAGAATGTTTTCAAAGAAAACCCCTAAATCATATTGGTATTTTAGTATTCCAATCACACCTTAAAATGATTGGTAATGACTCCCAACTTTTCATTTAAAACTCCCAACATTTCAAAAATATTTTCAATGAAAATCCCGAAATCATACTGGTTTTTCTCCCCACCCGGTTAAAAAATGGTGTTGACACATAGTAAAACAATATATTTTATTTTTAGGTTTATAATTTAGGATTTATGGTTTAAGATTTATGGTTTGTGTTTGGAGTTTGAGTTTATTACTCAGGATTTAAGGTTTATGGTATAAGGTTTGAAGTTTAAGGTAAGGATTTTAGAGTTTGAGATTTTGGGGTTTGAATTTGAGATTAAGGTAAAAAGAGACACTCAGTTATTTTACTGTGAGTTAAAAGATATTTATTTACATGTTATAAATTTTAACTAAATATAAGCAATATATTTTTTTAAATCTAACGACTATAAATCAATGTAAAACTCATTAGTTTTATATAGTGTAAGCGAATCTTGTCCATGTATATATGTATGTATGTATTTCACTCTTTTAGCTAAATTGTGGGTGTGATATTTCTTCAAAATCTATAATCAATTAATTAAAACTTTATAAACTATATTCAATTATTGAGTTAGGATTTAAATAACGGGGGATTTTGTATGAGTGCATAGACAGATGTAAAATTTTATGCTAGAGATGATGAATTTATAAAATTTAAAAAAGAGACAAATAGTAGCGAGACATAATAGGGACTCATGGCCCCCAAAAAAACTTAGAAAATTTAATTTTAAACCCTTAAAGTTTTCAAAAAAAAAAATTGACCCTACAACTTTTTTAGAAATTCATATTAAGCTTTAAATTTTTAATAACAATAATTAAATTCCTCCTATAATTTTAAAAAATTCTCATTAAGTCTATCAAAATTTTAAAAAATTTAGTTAAAAATTTAGTTAGACCCTAATTTTTTTCAAAAAAATATAAACTGAGCATGAACCAAATAACCTCATTGGTTAAAGGAATAATTGTTATTCCTAGAGGTCTCATTTTGGATCATCAACGACTGCAGCATGTGTGACTGAGTGTTAATTGTCAAATGATTGAGTGTAGTTATGACATATACTACTTTGTAATCACATTAGCTTAACAAAAAAAATATAAAATGAACTTTTCAAAGTTTTTGAAAATTTTAATTTAAATCTTTAAATTTTTTAAAATTTTAAGTCGAACCCCAAAACTAAATCGCAAGTTCAACCACTGAAGTCAAGCTTATAAAATCTTAGGGGCAACAATATAATTTCAATAGAAAAATATATAAAAATTGAAATTTTAATAGGACGTCCGCCTACCCTTCTTGCCTAAGCCCATCCCCGCATGAGTGGCACATGAACGAATGATTGTTTAGCTGGTTTATAGTTGACAAGCCAAAACGAAAGCATTGTAAGATAATTTCCGAGTACATCGTTGATTAGGCCTACGAAAGTCGAGGTAATGGGTTTTCATAACCTCTTTAGCCATTTTTTGCTGAAGAAACTACAATGGTTGACTTGAATCCAAATCACAATGACACAAGAGGACCATGCTTTTGATAGAGCTTCTAAATAAAAATATGAGGGACCGAGTCATCAAATAAGAGATGGAGGGCCACGGGAAGAAGCTTAAAATTGTCTTATTTTCTTCTACATTTTTGGAGAATGAAGAGGAAGAAGAAAGACCAGAAACTGTATTGTTTTCATTGTAATGTGTCTCTGGGGATGGAGAGGAAGAGTACCCTTTCAATAAAAAGCACAACCTCATGATATTTTCTAAATTGCCATGCCTAACAGTAGTCTTGTGTTCAAGATCTATTCATGAAGAAAAGTAGCGAGAGACCATATTTCTCAATTAATTCTGCTTTTTGAAGTCGAGGAGGCAAAATTAATGGCCCCATGAGCCCGCCATGGCTGGAATATGGTATCTTGAGATTAACAGGTAACGAATGAAAATTCCCCAGACATGATTTTGGACAATGCCTAAAGCCTAATACAATTGATCATCGGTATGCGTTGGAGCAAATGGGCTTGCATAAAGCCTAATATAATCGGGAAATGTTCTTCTAAATGGGCATTATCAGGAAAGATGTTGAAAGTTTACATTTAAGTTGATTAAGCCCGCTTCCACAACGTTAAATCAAAAATAGTCCGGGAGAGATGGAGAGTCACTAAACCGTTGTACCTAAAATGCCCCTACAGTGCTGAAATAAATTCTCCAACAGTGGTGCCTTGTTTGATTAAGACGCTTGTTTTGCTTGTGAATCAGCCCTCCTCCAACTCTGATTAATCATACGCTACCAAAACACTGTTAGATCAGAGAAAATGAAAGGCAAGAAAATGTCGTCTCACTACTAAAAAAATTGTTATTAAATTGGTTGGTGTAATTTATGTCTTCATTTTGACAAGGATCGGAGACCATGCACTTTATGGACAACCTTCGAACAAAAGTCTTTCCAAATGACCGCCCCAATGACCTCGAAATCCCTCCTTTTCTTTCATTATATGTGGCTCAATGTACTAATATAAGTTAAAATACAAATTAAATCCAAACGATGAATGGTGATTTGGTTTTGTTTGGTATAAACAATGATGGTATGTAAGGAAGCATTCCATAAAATAGGAGGAGAAATTCTAAAAGGGAACAACATGCACTTTGACAGCTCTAGAATAGACAAGAATAAGCTTACAGAAATTGGTTGGGAGATTTTATAATGAAAGGTTCTTTTCTTTGTAGTTTTATCGGCTCAAGTTAAGCATCAATGAAGAAGAATGATTACACTAGTAAGTAAGACTTGATTAATCATTAAGCAACTAACACTAGAAAAATATTATCATCAGTATCCAAACAGGGAATATCACATATGCCTGGAGCTGGCCCAGGTGAGCATGTGCTTATACGTGTCTCCAGCCTCATTTGCCACCTGTAAACAAAAAAGAATATTATCTGTCTACTGGTTGGATAAATATAAGGGTAAATTACCTATTTGGTCATCCGTTTATTACTTAGTTTTATTATGGTCACCTAGCCATTATTCTTTCAAAAGCATACCCGATGTTATATTTTTGTTTTGTTTTAGTCACCTATTATTAAAAAGTTGATAATGAAAAATAATAAAAATACCACATTAGTATCAATGTTAATTTTTAACGACTGATGATCAAATTATAACGTTAGATATGATTTAAAAAAAATTAACAATTAAATGATTCATAAATTAAGTAATTTATGGGTGACCAAATAAATAGTTTACCTTAATTATAAACATAAGTACAAGTTGTGTTTATTAGTTCTGAATAATGTATCGAGGGACCACTGCCTGTTGGAGGAGATTCCCACCCTATACCTTTATCTTCTAACCTTCGATTACTTGAAGCACATTTTACCTCTCCTACTATATATTTTTCCTGATATACATTAATGAAGTGATACCATAAAATGATTTGAGGATTGTGTGGAATAAATTTTCACCGCTAGTCTTGGGTAATAAATTGTTCAAGACTAGCAGTACTGCCTAATGAGTATATGGTTGCAACTTCTCGAGAATCTCGTGACAACTGACGAAGAACTGGATAACATATGTATATATTTATTATGCTTAGTAAGGAATATCTTCTCTTTCAGACTCTCTACTCAACAAAGTTTTGGTAGCTCTTTTGATTCGGTTAGAAAGATGGCAAGCAATGGACCTGACCTGATCTGACATTAGATAAAGTGGCGGATTCAAACGTAAAGAACAATTTTACATTTAAGGATTTGGTTTGAGGTCCGTCTTTCTTTTCTCTCCCTCTCCCTCTTTTACAATTTCCAACAGCGCACCACACACCAAATATATCGCCTGTCTTGTCTCTAACAGTCACAGCCGCTTGAGTTGAGACTTAAAAGTGAAAGAGTGAGGAGAGAGAAAAAGAACAGATTAAGCGAGAAAAAAGAAAAAAAGGGAGAATAGAAACATGGGAAAATCCACTTCCTGTTTCAAAATCATTACTTGCGGCGGCGATTCTGGTGAAACAGACGACGTTGTTCATGTTCCTCGGGCTGAGGTGTGTGTATACATCCTTTACATCGCGGTTTCTCTTTTTGTTGTTTTGCGATGGATTAGGATTCCATTCTACCTTCTGTTTCGACTTTCATTTGATGTTTTGGTAACTTTAGTTAATATTTAAAACAGCTAGTTCACTTCATTATGCCCTCGTTGGGATTCCATAGTTAGTAGCGCTGTACCAGTTTCTATTGAATATGGTGATTACAAGTTGAATAAAGCAGTACTTTCTGGGTAGAATTTACAATCGAGAGTATCTCAATTCATATAGAGTAGTGCTATTGTCTTTTTAAACATTCTTTCTTTTCTCCATGATTCCATCTCCTTCTGAGCTGAATTAGGCCGTTCAAATTTCCTTCCAGAGTAAGATAACAAACGAAAAAAAGGGATGGAGCTTTCGAAAGAGATCTGATCGGCATCAAGTGCTTAGCAATACTGTTATACAGGAAGCAACTTCGGGACTTGAGCAAAGTCCGGAATTTGCCGGTTTCAATTTTCAACAGCCTGATGCATCCATTTCTACTGAGAAAACTTCATTTATTCAGCACAGTGAAGAAAAACCTCAGGTGAAGACACCAAATGAGTACCTTGAAGTAGAATCTAAGAGTGTAGCACCAAATGAGTTCACTGAAGAAAAATCTCAGTTGCTTACACCAATGGCATACACTGAAGAAAAATCTCAGTTGTTGACCCAAGAGGACTCTAAAATGCCTGAATCTGTTCCCATCACCACAAACGAGGCTGAAGATGATGCCAACCTTGATGAATCTGTTGCTATTATCGTACAGACTGCTGTCAGAGGGTACTTGGTAAATTACTTCTTTCCCAGCGTGGATTTAAACTTTCCACTTCATAACTTTCCTCATGATATATCTATTGCACTCATTTGCAGGCACATAAAGAGTTAGGAAAGCTTAAGAATTTAGTGAAGTTGCAGGCTGCTGTAAGGGGGCACTTGGTTAGAAAACATGCTGCTGGGACTTTACGGTGCATTCAAGCCATTGTCAAGATGCAAATTCTTGTTCGTGCTCGTCTATCTCAAGACGGGCTTTATGCTGAAAATAAGCTGGATGGCAAGCTCCATAATGACAACCAAAATTTGGTAATTCTTAAAGCTTAAATCAATTAATAGGAATCACAACTCACAAGACCGTTTACCCTGTATGTTCGGGTTCATATTTACTGATGGGTGGCCTGCTTGTTTTCACTTTTAGGATTGTTGCAACATTTTACCTTTTCTTATTTGCATATATGGATGATCATAGTTAAGTATATAATCTATGAGCATGTTCTATTCTCAAGCACAAATCTAATTTTAAAAAGGGCCAGTGGACAGCAAGTTCTCTGTAATTTACAAAATCATACTGTTCAGAGAGAGGTGAATCTAATAGGATTTTATTTTTTTCTGGCTAGCTTTGCAAGACATTCAGATATTACAGGCTAATGTCCCTTCTGCCGTGATGTTTGTTTAATCAGTTACACTTTGTATATGACACAACATAAATCACCTGAAAATATTATAGATAATAGTATGTTTAGGAATTTTGTGCAATATGTTTCTTTCAGTAATTGCTATTTTTTAGTTTTAGCCATCATTCCTCCTTTTATTCCTGAAGCAGGGAAGCTCAGCAATAAAACAGAATGCAACTTATACATCCATAGAGAATCTGCTTAGCAATAAGTTTGCTCGTCAGGTGTGTTAAGTCAACAGTCTTTTGCTTTTTTTTTTAAAAACTATATGCTCGCATGTATTTGTCAAACTATGTCTAAGCAGTGTACTCGGAATTTGATTTGATTGCACTTGCAGCTGATGGATTCAACACCCAAGACAAAGCCTATACACTTCAAGTGTGATCCATTGAAACCAAACTCAGCTTGGAGCTGGTTAGAGAGGTGGACGTCTGTGCCATCAGCTAGAAATTCTTCACTGGTGAAATTAACTATTGAACAACCAGAATGGGAGAAAAGTGACAATTATGAGACTCCTCTTACTGCAACAGTTCAATCTGAAGCGATCTCTGAGTCAAACGAACCCAAAACTTATGTACGGGAGATATTGGTATCATCAGAGAGTGAAGAGAATCCGATCACCAACAACGCTGCCAACTTTAAGTTTGAGGAATGTGAGCCAACTTCCTCTCCAGTAATGGATGATATGGACCAACCTCTGATTGACACTATTACATCCGACCTAAAAGAGAACTCTCAGGATATAAACACACAAGATCAAATGATGCAAACAAATGCACATTCTCAAGCAGTGGACAGTTGTCTTTCTAGCAAGCTGGAAATAGAAAGTGAACAACCCAAACATTCTACTAAAAGATTTGCCTCTGAACAACTGGAAACGGAGCCTATGAAAATTGCATTTGGGTCAAGAAAGGCAGATAATCCTGCATTTATTGCTGCACAAACAAAATTTAAGGAGTTGAGTTCAAGGGCCAATTCAAGTAGATCTGTTGATTCATCCCCCCAAGACATTGGAGATGAATCGAACGTGGGTGCTCTGTCATCTGAGGCAGATACGATAAGCAGGTCTACCAAACCAAGCATCACAGGAAATGCTGTCAATAATAGGAAGGTTCAATGCATTGGCTCTGAATGTGGGGCTGAAATCTCTGTTATTTCCACTCTCGGTTTACCTGATATATCTGAAGTTGGAACTGTAGGATATGAAAATGTAACCAAAGTTTCTGAGCAAGAAATCTTCAGTTCTAACAGTAATAAGGATTTGAATGTTAAAGAAAACAATACAGGTGCAATCAGAATGAATGATTCTTCTCTGTCTACTGATGATCAGCCTGATTCTTCTCCATCTATTGCTGATCAGCCCAAGAAACTGGATGATGCTAATGGTGCATTGACGAATTTAGTTGTTGCAGACTCCCCTCAAGTAGCGCAGCAGCCACCGAAAGGCACACCTGATTTGCATAGAGATCTGGATTCTGAGATGGGTAATCAAGCATACATATTATCCCCAGAAGCCTCGCCCAAGTGCCATATAATTGTTCCAGAATCCCAAAGAACACCTTCTAGTGAGGTATCAATGAAAGCGAAAAAGAAAAAGGACAAGAGCTGTCAAAAGAGCAAGTCCTTGTCTGCTGCTAAGAGTTCTCCATCAACTCCAGGTCATGATAGTGGAGCAAGATGTAGCATGGAAGAATTGCCCAAAGATCAGAAAAATGGAAAGATACGTAATTCTCTAGGTTCAGGAAGACCTGACAGCATTGGTGGTGAGCCAGGAGATAGTAACAGCAGCAATTCTCTTCCCCGTTTCATGCATGCCACGGAATCAGCAAGAGCTAAGGTTAATGCAAAGACCTCACCAAGATCAAGTCCAGATTTGCAAGACAGAGACATTTATATCAAGAAGAGACATTCCTTACCTGCTGATAATGGGAGGACGGGTTCTCCAAGGATCCAGCGACCAATTTCTAAATCCCATCAGGGTGCAAAAGGAAATGGTATAAATCCTATGCATGGTATGTTCCAAGCTTATTCTTCACCTTCCTACTTTAATTGTTGAACTTTTTAACATTAAAATATCTTTAATTCTTACTCCTTGCTAGTACACTTTGTCCTTTTCATTTTAGATAATTGAATTTCATTTATCATTCAAGCAAGCAGATATTTGCTAGTACAAGTAAGCTAAGGTTACACAATCTTAGTAGGGAATTTACACCAAAGGTGTAAAATTTCAAACCACCCCGACCCCCCTGGGACCAACAAAAAAAATGAAGTTATGATTTAGTCTTAAAATAGTTCAATTTCAGCCCTAAAAAATTTATGGCTTCGCCCCTAAAAGTCTTGTTTGTTTCAGATAAATGGCAAAGGTGATGGGTTACCTCGGAGCAACCATATGTCACAGTTCCCTGTTATGCAACTTCTCAGGTGGAGAAGTGGAGCTGATTGGTGGTCTTACTATCTAGCTTTATGCCTCAGTATTTCTCCACTTAAGTTGATTCTGACAAACCATCTAGTGCTTGGCATGGGGGGAGATATATATAGAGTTGAGTGAACATTTTGTTGTATATTTATATTACCAAAACCATTGATATTACTGTTGTTTGTTTCTAAGCTTTACGCCTGGAGGTCTGCTCGTGTGTTCTGTTCAAATGTGTTTGGCGTGTTATTGTTCGGGTTTGCTACAAACTTGTTTTTGAGGTGTATATTCGAAGTTTTAGACAATGATGCTTTAAAGTGGAGAGCTTTGATCAATTTTTCGTGTGATAACTCGGCTATTCTCTGTTGTTTCGTTGGCCACCATTTTGATCACTATTTTTCCCTTTCAATTGTTTACGCATTCGTAACCAAGGAAATCCATGAACCCATCTGCAATGAAAGCAAATTTTTAGGATACGATTGTTAATGAGATGGGATATATCGTGAGTTATTCGAGATTGATTCGGTCAAAGTTTGATAAATATGCGATTCGAATGGATTTGACTCGAGTTTTTAACAAGCTGAAATATGTTACTTGATACTCGACTCAAAAAATTTGTGAGTATCTCGAAAATATAATATATTTTAAAAATAAATTATTAATAATATTAATATTTATGTGTTAATTTTTTTAAATGCAATATAATTTTTTATGTATTTAAGGTTCAGGTTCGAGTTTGAGACTTTAATCGAGTTAAGTTTTTCTTCTTCTAGCATTTTCGAACTTTACGAACTTCAGTTCATGATTTTGAGTTCAAGTCGAGCTTGAAAATTTTAAGTTCACGAGTTTTCGAGTTGAGTTGAGCTCTAGAGTTTTTTAGTCGAGATGAGTTCAGTAATTACATCCCTCCTTTAAGGGTGCGTTTGGTTCACGGAATGTAAGATTACCAGTGAGAATGTAAGATTACCATGGAGAATTACTTGGAATATTGTATTTTGTGTTTGGTTGGTTTAGCAGGAATGTAAAATTATCGTGTTTGATTAAAGGAATAAAAGATTATTGGAATGTATATTTAACCAAATTGTACTTATTATATATTTGTTTTTTATCAAGTTGGAAAATATTTATATATTTTCTTTAAATAATTTAAATTCATAAATTTTATATACATTTTTTTACAAAATTGAAAATATAAAAAGGTTTAATGAAAGGGTAAAATTTTATTTTAACCCCTGAACTTCATATAAAATTTTAATTATAGATTTTTTTTGTAAATCTAAAATAATTTAAGAATAAATTTATAATTTAACATTCGTATAATTTTTATTATTCAATGACAGAAGAAGGATATTTTTGGAAAAAAATTAAGGGCATTTTAGTCCAAAACGTCAGTAATCAAATAATACCTAAGGAAAGGGAAGTAAAGACATTCCTGGTAATATACCCAAAAAAATCTACTATTAGTAATAAAATATTATCGGGAATGAGATTCCCGGCCAACCAAACATGAGAATGTGAATTTCATTCACATGAGAATCACACATTTCTTGAGTCAAACACCCCCTAAAAGGTGTCCTTTTGTTTATCAAATATTTGGTAGTTTTTGTTAAATTTAAAAAACTGAATCTGTAACACCCCAACCCGTATCCCAACCCGGATACGAGTCAGAGATATTACATTGACTTTTAAAACACAACTCATTACAAATAATAGTAAAATACTTGAACTTATATTACGAAAAATACAATAATATACATATGGTAATATAAGTTTACCAAAATATTCAGAGCATACACAACTTAACTCTTTAATTACATGCCAACATCCATTTTCATAACAAAATGACCTACTGATTAAGTTGCTTCTGATCTGATAGTTGCAGGAGTAATGTTATCCAGCTGCTTAACCTCGATCGTCTACTTTATCGGATCCTACGTGTGAAACACTCACACGCTAAGTCATCGACTTAGTGAGGCAATAATATAATAATAATATCAATAAATATAAAGTAATTGTCAAAATGAGATGTGTTGCAGTAATAAGATGTATGTAAACAATGCAATAACCAAAACCATGTTTCTTACACATATACTTATCAAATTCACATTCATAAGTTCGCCTTAGTAAGTTCATTAGCCCATGGTACCATACAGAGAACCTAAGGTATGTGAGTATTGTGAGGTTGTGCACTATGCTGTCACCACAGCTCATATAATTGCACCTAAGTGCCATGTAGAATTGCACCGGAGTGCCGCGTAGAATTGCACCGTAGTGCCATATAATAATGTCCATAAGGACCACATATCATTCCTTAAGAATCATATACATATGCCAAGGATCAAGTATATGTCTCACCAGACTTCACACATGTTCCAAAGAATACATATATGTCCCGAAGGACCACATATCATTCCTTAAGAATCATATATATATACCAAGGATCAAGTAGGTGTCTCACCAGACCTCACACATGTTCCAAAGAATACATATATGTCCTGAAGGACCACATATCATTCCTTAAGAATCATATACATATGCCAAGGATCAAGTATGTGTCTCACCAGACTTCACACATGTTCCAAAGAATACATATATGTCCCGAAGGACCACATAGACCCTCTACCCTTGGCATGCCAACTATACCTATAATTCTCATTTACATAACATGGGCTTTCACAATTTATCTAATTCATATCACGTAGACATATTACTTCTATACCTTTATCATATAACTCATATAACTTTTCTTTCATATTCATGTCCCATAATGCATATGGTATGGATTCATGTCATATATCATCATATGAACTACGATCATGTATCAAAATATTGAATCTAGACTTATCACAAGTCTAGAACTGAATAAAATACATATTAATGCTATGCATATGCACTCACCTAGATTTCTTTGTATTTCCCTCGATTGATCCTACTTGTCGATGGTTCCGGAACTCGATTAGGCTCAATATCTACATAAGCAAAATTTTCAAGATGATTATCAGATGCCTAAGTCTTGAAATTAACCTCTAATAGCCTACCAATTTAAGAAATTGATAGTTTAGTCTCTCTTCTTTCTTTTCTCTTTTTTTTTATTATGGGGGAATCGGTTCCCCCCTGGGGGTATCGATTCCCCTCTAGCGTTCTGGAAATTCATATTTGTTTGAGGGAGTATCGATTCCCCTTGAATGGGTATCGATTCCCCTAGCCCAGAAATCCTATTTTGAGCTCAAAAATCACTTCATTTCAGCTTAAACCTTCATATTTTACTTCCTTTAATATTCCTAACTTCCATATACCTATTTAAACTCATTTCTATTCCATAATCACTTCTTTAAACCCAAAATTCCATCATTTACATGGCATTCAAGAATCACACTAAATTTTCAAGGTGTTCTAATTCCAATTTTAACACTTCATATCCCTTAATTAACTTGATGACAAGTCAAATCTCATTTCCAATTCTTATTATGAACTCTAATCTAAGATTTCACTTTTCTACTTCTTTTCTTTAATTCTTCATATACTTCTTCTCTTGAGGTTTTAAAACAATTTAAACTTCCTTTAAGCTTAACTATTGCCTAATGGTCATGAATCAACCATAAATCCATCAAGAAATTCACTAACAAGAAATTCTTACCTTAGCTTGGGTCTCACGTATGAAGAAGAAGAAAGAAGAGATGACTTTGGAAGCTTGTTTTAATTTCCTATACATCCACGTGGTTAATATAATACTAACCCCAAAATTATATTGCTATAAAAAGACCATTTTGTCCTTCTAATCTTCCTTCTTTATAATTCAATCCTACACAAAATAACTCAAATAAGTCATTGAACTCTTCCATCATTCTACTTAAATCACCAAATTCTGAAACTTTACAAATTAATCACTAACCCGACATGGAGGATGTTACAAATCTCCCTCCCTTAAGAAAATTCGTCCTCGAATTTTCAATAAGAAAAGAGATGGGGATACTGATTCCTCATATCCTCCTCACGCTCCCATGTTGCTTCCTCTACTTTGTGATTCTCCCATAAAACTTTAACCAATGGAATAGTCTTGTTCCTCAATTGCTTAACCTCATAAGCTAAAATTTGAATCGGTTCTTCCTCATAAGTCAAATCCAGTTGTACCTCGATCTCTTCTAGGTTTACAATATGTGAGGGATCCGATCGATATCTCTGAAGTATTGAGACATGGAATACATTGTGAATCTTTTCCATTTCTGGTGGTAAAGTCAATTGGTATGCTACGGGTCCCACTATTTTTACAATCTCATATGGTCCAATAAACTAGGGACTTAACTTTCCTTTCCGATCAAACCTCAAAATATTCTTCCATGGAGATACCTTTAAAAACACTTTATCCCCAACTTCAACTTCAATCTCATTTCTTTTAAGATCAGAATAGGACTTTTGCCGATCAGAGGCCACTTTGAGGTTATGCTGAATTTCTCGAACTTTCCGTTCTACATCTTGAATTAAATCCGGACCAAGAACACTTCGATCTTTGAGTTCATACCAATTTAATGGAGTACGACATTTTCTTCCATATAATGCTTCATATGGGGCCATCTTTATACTAGACTGATAACTATTATTGTAAGCGAACTCTGCCAGCGATAAATACTTTTCTCATGATCCTTTGAATTCCATTACGCATGCTCTCAACATATCTTTCAATATCTGAATAGTTCTCTCTGATTGCCCATCAGTCTGAGGATGAAAAGCCGTACTAAAGTTTAAACGAGTCTTTAACGCTCCATGCAAAGATTTCCAGAATCTAGAAGTGAATCGAGGGTCTCAATCAGAGACTATGGAAGCAGGCACTCCATGCAATCTAATAACTTCTCTAATATACAGCTTTGCATACTTTTCCATAGAGAAATCCGTTCTAACCGGAAGGAAATGTGCTGACTTAGTTAATCGATCAACAATTACCCAGATTGATTCTCTTTTGTTCGGAGTCAAGGGTAACCCCGAAAAAAATCCATCGTAACATTTTCCCATTTCCATTGAGGAATGAAAAGCAGTTGCAATAATCCTGACGGAACTTGATGCTCAGCTTTGACTTGTTGACATATCAAACACTTAGACACAAATTCGGTGATGCTTCGTTTCATCCCTGACCACCAAAATCAATCCTTCAAATCCATATACATCTTGGTTCCACCCGAGTGCATCGTTAACGGACTGCAATGAGCCTCTGTTAATATTTCTTTCTTCAAGTTGTCATTGTCGGGTATTACAATTCTTCCTTTACAATATAGATTTCCATCTGACTTAATCTCAAAGTCTTTAATCTCTTTGTTCTTTAATTGTTCAATTCTTTCAAACACGTTTCATCTTTACTTTACAATTCTCCTATCCGTTCTAATCATGCTGGTTTA